AGGGACCTGCCATGGCAAACGAATGCTGCCGTGACAACATGTGTCGGGCAATTCAAATTATTGGCGCAAGCCGCTGTGTAACTTGATCCGCCATCGTGCCCGTTGGCACGTTCAGGTATGGTAGAGTGATGCCAGATGCTGCCTGGCAGGCGTTCTGTCAGAATGAGGGGGCCGAACGGTCATTCACTGTCCCTGGGCGCGTGGATGAAATGGGATTCCGCGATGCTGGCTCTCGTTGTTGTTGTTGATGGTGTTGTTGTTGATGTTGCTGTTTTTGTTGATGTTGTTGTTTTTATTTCTTGTTGATTGGCACCGTCCCCTCCGCCACACGGCCCGCGACCCACCCCGCGACCCACCCCGCGACCCGCCCGCGATCCACCCGCGACCCACCCCGCGACCCACCCCGCGACCCACACGCGACCCACCCGCGACCCGCCCCGCGACCCACCCGCGACCTGGCCCGCGACCCACCCGCGACCCACCCGCTACCCACCCGCGACCCCGCCCGCGACCCACCCGCGACCCGCCCGCGACCCACCCGCGACCCACCCGCGACCCACCCGCGACCCACCCCGCGACTCACCCACACTGCTTAAAAGAAAGAAATCTGCGCCTGCGGCGGGATTTTTGAGAGCCTCGCAGACTGCCGACGTCCCCGCCGACCCCTCACTCTTATCCGCGACTGCGGGGTGCTACGGTATTATTCTCAGGCCCCCCTCCCTCGACACATCCACCTGCATGCATCCCCCCCCTCTCCGGAGGCTTCCTGGGCGACACGACGCTTCCCTGGTCTTTCCCCAAACGCCCAAGATACCTATACGACCACCCTTCAGGTGATAAGGAGACCTGGGGGAGTGAGGAACCAACTTCTCACTCGATCGGTCTCACTGTCGATCTCACTATCGGTCTCGCTCGATCGACCTCACTCGATCGATCTCACAATCGATCTCACTCGATCTATTTCATTCGATCGATCTCACAATCGAACTCACTCGATCTGACAGTCGATATCACAATCGATCTCACTGTCGATCTCACTATCGATCTCACAATCGATCTCACATTCGGTCTCACTATCGATCTCACTATCGATATCACAATCGATCTCACAATCAACGTCATCATCATCAACATCATCGTCATCAACGTCATCAACAACATCATCACCATCACCGGGACACCATCATCATCATGACATCATCATCATCGTCATCACAATCATCAACACCATGATCGGGGCACCATCATCGTCACCATCATCATCATCAACATCATCATCACCGGGACACCAGCATCATCATCATCATTATCGGAACACCACTATCATCATCTCATCATCATCATGAACAACAGCATCAACAACATTACCATCATCATCGGGACACCATCATCATCAGCAACATCATCATCATCATCATCAACATCATCATCATCAACATCATCATCACGGGGACGCCATCATCATCGTCACCATCATCATCACCATCAACATCATCATCACCATCATCGGGACACCATTTTCATCAACATCGGCATCATGACCATCGTCGGGTCACCATGATCAACATCATCATCATCACCTCCTCATCATCCTCAACATGATCATCATCATGGGGACACCATCATCGTCATCATCATCAACAGCATCATCATCGGGGCACCATCATCATTAACAGCATCACAATCGCCCTCATCATCATCAGCTGGACACCATCATCATCACTCATCATTGTCATCACCAGCATCTCATCATCTCAGATCATCAACAACATCAGGATAATCAACATCACCATCATCAGGACACCATCATCATCAGCAACATCATCATCTTCAACATCATGATCATCATCATCGGGACATCATCATCATCACCACCATCACCATCATCATCAGCATCATCATCAGAATTAGCATTACTATCGTCAACATCATCATCATCACAATCACCATCACCATCACCATCACCATCACCATCACTATCATTATCATCATCATCATCATCATCATCATCATCATCATCATAGGGGCACCATCATCATCACCACCATCACCATCACCATCACCATCACCATCACCATTATCATCATCATCACCATCATCATTATCAACATCATCAACATCATCGACATCATCATCATCATCATCATCATCATCATCATCATCATCATCATCATCATCATCATCATCATCATCATCGGGACACCGACGGAACACAGGCAGGACACTGGCGGGACACCGCGGGCCACCGGCCCGCGCAAAAGAATCATTCGGTCCGGCCGCGCCTCAGCCGGAGGCGGGACACTGGCGGGACACCGCGGGCCACCGGCCCCCGGAAAGGAATCATTTGGTCTGGCCGCGCCTCAGCCGGAGGAGACTTTCTTCTCGCCCGCCCACGCAGCTTCGCCGCGCCCGCACGCACGGCACGCACGAACACGAAACCGAAACTGATTTCCTGGTAGGGGGGCTCTCTGGTCCACTTCGATCTCACCCCCTCACCTCCGACCCAACATGGCCTCCAAGACGGCCAAGGCAAGCCACCCAGGGCCGCCGAGATGGTCCAATATGCCTCCGTGATGGCCTGCGATGGCCCCCAGACTGCCCAAAGAGGCTCCAAGAAAACCTTTAGGAGGGCCCCAACAATGATTTGCCTTTGGCTTTTGATGACATTTCGCATTCTCACGATTTGGGCTTCCGTCGACTCCGTTCGGCCTAAGACGCGTCCAAGATGGCCTCAAGACGGCAAACGAAGGGTTCAAAAGAGCTCTGCCCAATAGGGCTTAAATCGAATCACAAGTCGACCCAAGAGGGCCCCAAGGCCCCCCCCCCCCAAAGGAAACCAAGCGGGCCCAGAGGCTCTCAATACGGAGCCCGGAAGAGCCACACGACCGAAGAGCGCTACCAGAAGGCCCAAGGAGCCCCCAAGAACCTGTAAGATGCCCCCAAGACGTCCCCCCAAACCCCAAAACGATACCAAAAAGCCCCCCAAAGGCCCAACGACGCCCCCAAGAGGCCACCACTACGTCCCGTGTCACAGGTGACGGCCTTCCTCTCCCTCCTCCTCCTCCTCCTCCTCCTCCTCCTCCTCATCATCATCTTCATCTCCATCATCTCCATCATCCTCTTCTTCCTTCTCCTCCTCCTCCTCCTCCTCCTCCTCCTCCTCCCCTTCCTCCTTCTCATCATCATCTCCTTCATCCCGTTCGGTCGCCTAAAATCCTCCTCCTCCGTTCTTCACGCTCATTATCCTCATCAATGTTCCTCACCGTCCTCATCAAAGTCATCTCCATCGTCATCATCGGCATCGTCATCGTCATCGCTATCGCCGCCGTCATCATCGCCCTCGAACAGTCGCTAAGGAGGATGCACGGTGGCGGGATTTGCCGCAAGCAGCTAGGTACTCAAGCGCTGTGACACAACATGCTAATCGCATCGAAAATTAGACCGAACACAGAGCCGCTGTGGAAAAGCAAAAAAAAAGAGAACGAGCTCGTCGAACGGGTGCCGTACCCGTTCCCTAGGAGATCCTTCTCTAGGGTGAGAACGGTGTTATGATAAGCTTGGCTCAGGATGCGTTCCAAGATTTCCAAGGAGCATCTAGCGGCCCTCATTTCTGCCGCCCCTGTGCAACATCAAGAAAGCTGGTCAAGAAATCCGTGAAATCCAGGAAACCTTGACCTCTTACCCCTCTGATTCCCCCCCGCCCAAAACGCGGGTCGACGCGTTCTGGGCAGAGCCGCCCGCCGAGTCCGCGCCGCCGCAATCCCGCTCCGGGCGTGCGCGGCACACTCCGGGGAAAGCGCTTCGATGGCCAAGTCGGGCCCCTCGGCGCCGAGGAACACGGCGGAAGCGGGCGGCCCCTCCCCCCTCCCCAGCCTGCCGAGGCGCGCTGCCCGCACGTCCAGCGCCGACACATTCATACATGGGACTATATATATATATATATATATATATAGGTTGTGTATGTGCGTAAGTATGTATGTATGTATGCAGGCAGGCAGGCAGGCAGGCACGCATGACTGTATGTATGCATGTATGCATGCATGTATGTGTGATTGTATGTCTGGCTGTATGCATGTATGTATGTATGCATGCATGCATGCATGCATGCATGCATGCATGACTGTATGTATGCATGGATGTATGTATGTACGTGTATGTGTGTATGTGTGTATGTGTGTATGCATACATGTATGTATGTGTGTATGTATGGTAGTGCGTATGTACTCATGTTTGTGTTTATGCATGCATGCATACAACCATGCATGTATGTATGTATGCATGCATGCATGCATGCATGCATGTATGCATGTGGGTATATGTGTATGTATGTATGTATGTATGTATGCCCGTATGCATGCATGGATGGATGCATGTATGCATGCATGCATGCATGCATGCATGTATGTATGTATGTATGTATGTATGTCGGTATGTGTGTATGTATGTATGTTTGTAGGTAGGTAGGTAGGTAGGTAGGTAGGTAGGTAGGTAGGTAGGTAGGTAGGTAGGTAGGTAGGTAGGTATGTGTGTATGTATGTGTGTATGCATGCATGCATGCATGCATGCATGTATGTATGTATGTATGTATGTACGTATGTATGTACGAATGCAGCATCTCCGAGCTGACTACCTACCAGACCACCCAAACCCAACCCGAAGGCGTGAATCTGACCCGACTTTCGGGCTGGCGAGGGTGCGCGGGCTCCATGCGTCTTTTCCATGTTCCCCGACCCCCCCCCCCCCCTGCAGAAAATGGATGGCAAACGGAGGCCTTCGGGTTGGGTTGACGGGTGATTTGCGACGGCGACTGCCTCACGAATCCCGTGATTCGATGGTGGCGACGAGCGGCGCGGCGAAGACGATGACGATATGCATGAGGATGACGATATGCATGAGGATGACGATATGCATGAGATGACGACAGATTGCCCTCGAGCATCATATGCCTGCTTGCGACAAGAGGGCGGCGACGAGCGGCGCGGCGCCGGGCGGAGCGGAGCTCTCCTGGAGCTGCGCGCAGAAGGCGGCGGGCTGCACGCGCCGCAGCCGCCCGGCCTGTGCGGGCCGCGGGCCCGCGCGGGGCGCCCTCTGCGGCGGGGGGGGGTAGGCATGGGCACGGCCCCGGGGCCCGCAGCGTCCTCCGCGGGGGGGGGGGGGGGGGGGGGCAACCGCGGCTGTTCGCAAACACCGCCTGTAAACGAGCGCGTTAGACTGCAGCCGAGCTGCGGAAAGAAGGAGCACCCAATCAGGAACGGAGCCCCTTCTTTGACCCCAAACCCGCCTGCGTGGACGAGGAACGCTGGAGAAATAGCATGGGCGGACCTACTACATGTAAGGAACGTCGAGCCCCTTCCCAACCCGAACGGTTCCCTATTTTGGCGTCTTGGCTGTACGCTCAAAATTCGCCGGCCCAACGGGCCAAAGGCGTGCTAAGATCTCCGGTAACTGCTAAACAATACTTCTAGTTCGCGCGCGCGGGGCGGCCCCTGGGGGTCCCCCGGCGAAAAGTACCCCGACCGCCGCCCGACCACTGCTACTCAGAGATGGTTTTCCTCCTGGGTGTGGCTTCTCAGGCCCCCCAGAGCGCGCCAAGAGTGCCCCAAGAGGCCCCCAAGACTGCCCAAAGGGCCCCCGAGACGCCTAAAGAGCGCTCCAAGACGCCGATGATGACCTCAAGACGGCCCAAGAGGCCTCCAAGTGGCCTCCAAGAGGCCTCACAAGAGGGCCCTGAGAGGCCCAAATCAGACATTTTACGATGGTTTTGAAAGAATTTGGGCCTTGTCCCCTTTTCGGCCATCCGATGCTCCAAGACGGCCCAGGAGGCCCCCAAGAGCACCCCAAGACGGGCCAAGAGGCTTCCACGAGGGCCCCAAGAGGGCCCAAGAGGGCCCCGAGACGACCCAAGAGGCGCCCAAGACGGCCCAAGACGGCCCCAAGACGGCCCCAAGAGGGGCCCAAGAGGGGGACCACGAACCAAAACCTCGAGCCTTCCGCCCCAAGAGGGCCCCAGGAGGCCCCGAGAGGCCCCAAAGAGGCCCCAAGATGCCGCCAAGAGGCCCCCAAGAGGTCCCAGGAGGCCCCCAGGAGGCCCCCCAGAAGACTTCAAAAATGCCTCCCAGGCGCCCTCGAACGGCTTCTGAAAAGACCCCAAGAGGCCTCCCAGAGAAGCATCTTGACGACGACCCTGTTTGGCCCCAAGAGCAACACAAGATGCCAACGAGAGGCTTCCTCCTCCGCCCCTTCCTCTTCCTCCTCCTCCTCCTACTTATCTTCATCCTCCTCATCTCCTTCTCATCCTCTCCTCCTCCTCCCCTCCCCTTCCCCATCCTCATCTTCTTCCTCCTCGGCGGCGCCACAATGGCCCCGGGCCCACGGCGAAGCAGTAGCGATCATGCAACATGGGCCGGCGGAATGAGCGAAGCGATTGAATAACTACTCGCAAATGGCCTGGGCCCGCCGCGGGGATTCACGATCCGTGATATCGAGTCGAGCATGTGTGTGTTTTCGAACGTTTACGAGTAGGCACACGGTGCGGTTGGCGGAACGCGCTCGGAGAGTCTCGCGGGCCGACACAAACCGAACTCATGCGAAGCGCACCAACGAGCGAAGCCCTCACTGGAAGCACCCGGATAGGAATCGAACAGGGCATGGCTGTTTAGTAAACGCCCAGGGCTGTCCAGTGAACGACAGTTTAATAGGGCCCTGGGACACACAAATAAATACACAGTAATGACAGGATTCCCCATGTTTTCATATATTTTCTGTGTTTTCGTCTTCACCCCCACTTCCCATATTTTCCAATTTTTCTGGGAATCGACGATTAACTGTGCCTGTGTGTGTGTGTTTTTTCCCTCCTGACAGTTGTGGGGGTAGGCGTGGATGTCCCTCCCTTGGTCAGCGTGCACTGTTCGCTTGTCAGGCGGCGTTTGTCCCAAACTGACCATGTCGACCAGCGTGGGCCTCAACGAGTGAGTCATATTGCACTGTGGGGGTTGAGGCTCGATTGTGCAAGCCATGCGATGAGAGCAATACTGTGCAAGCTAGGTGGTGAATGCTACTAAGTGCAAGCAATGTGCTGTACGCTATGTGGTGTAGGCTATGTGGTGTAAGCCATGCGGTACAAGCTATGTGGTGGAATAGATGTGGTACAGGCTGGACAGCTGGAACTGATGCGCGGTAAGCCGTGTCCGCGTAGGCTATGCATTGTAGGCCACCGATGTGCTGCACGATTCGCTGTGCCGGCTGTGTGGGCAGACTGTGTGGTGCAACCTGTGCGGTGCGAGCGATGCGGCGCACGCTGTGCGCGCAACCTGCGCGTTGTGGTTTGCAGCATGTGGTCGTCGAAGCCCCGCGGCGGGCACGAGGTGCCCACGAGCTGGCACCGGGCGCCCATGACCAGGCACCGGGCGCCAGCGTGGCGAAACCTCGGGGCCCGCACGGAGCACTTTTTGTTCGCCGGCGGCGAGGCAGAGGCAGTGCGCACCAGCGTGGGGAAATCGAAAGGCGAAACTGATGGGCCGATTTTCCACCACCGCGACCAGCTGCAGGAGAGGGAGGGGGAAGATGATGAGGAGGAGGAGGAGGAGAAGGAACAGGAGGAGGAGGGCCTCCCCGTCCTCCCTTCTCCTCCGTCCTGCTTGTGGTAAGTGGTGGTGGAGAGCTGGCCCATCGGAGTTGGCTGGCGGGCAAGAGAGGGATAGGGACGATGGCGGCCGCGCAGAAGGAAGGGGAGGGAAGAGCACTCGGACACGTGGAGGTCGATGAAGGGACCCTGGGACACACACACGCACACACACACACAGACACACACAGACACACACACAGACACACACAGACACACACAGACACACACAGACACACACAGACACACACAGACACACACACACACACACAAATACACACACAACAAAAAGCAGGATTCCCCCTATGCTCCCGCATTTCCCGTTGTATCTGTGCGTTCCTTCCCCTCGTGAGTCGAGCGGGCCGGGGCGGCTGGCCGACCCGCACGGAGCACGGGGAGCCCACAGGGTGCCCACGAGCGGAGGCGGGCGCCAACCATGGCAAGAGGCCTCGGGACCCCCGCGCGGCGCGCCCACGGTCTGCTCGGGCCTGTGCCCCTACACCCTGCGAAATGCTTAAGAACTCATGGGTTAAGAAATTCATAGTCTCAGAACCTGAGTAAAAACCCAACATTTCTATTAAAAGATTAAGATTTACATTGAAATGTTAAGAATAATCGAGACTCTGGCCGAAAACTTAAGTTTTCTAAAGCATCGCCTAAGGTGTACAGGCCGATTTTGGACGAAACATGATAATACCCCGAGCATGCCAAACATGCGCAGGCATAACAAATGGGCAACAACGAAAAAGAAACGAAACATCAAACCATCAAACACAACAGTAGAAAGACTACAAAACAAAAGCACACACAGAGCAAGACATCGTCCCCATACTATTATTTAGCATTTTTTTGGAATAGTCCTCCTGCAGAGGGATAGGCCCGACTTGAGCCCACGGGGCGCCCGGGATCGGGCACGGGCGCCGACGCGGCGAGCCTCGGGGAGGCCACCCCGCGCACGGGGCGCCAGCGTGGCGAACCCGCCGCATGCGACCACCTGGCAAACCACCCCGACCCAACCCGACACCCCGAATTTCGGGTGGGGTGGGGGCGCGGGCATCATATGGTGGTCTCGGGGGGCTTTCGGAGTGGTGTCGGTCGGGGAGGTGCGGCGGGGGGTAGAGGCGGATGCTTCTACGACAAGCCCTCATGAAACGCACGAATAGCGTTATGAATGAATTCCCTCGGAAGCGTCAGCTTGGGCGGAAAAGCTGGCGCCACTCACGCTTTCCAGACACGGCAGCGTCTTTGGCCAAACGCTGCAATGAGCGCTGAAACCCCTTCACTGACCTAGATCGCACCACCGCGCTAGGTAAACGATTGAATATTGGAGTCGAACCAAGCATTGACCGGTGAAGCATTCGAGGATGACCAGGTTGGAGAGGTTCCTGGAGTGCCTTGCTGTGGATTCGGGTATCAACTGAGAAACCGTACCTCGCGAGATTGCCTCTGAACGGCTCAAACAAAGAAGCCAACGACACTGGCGCCTGCCCCAAAGACACCTTGTAGAGAAGACCAAGCATAGCGATGTCGCGCCGCATTCCCAATGGACCAAGATTGTGCTCAAGTAGTGCTTCCTCTGGTGTCAAGCCCACGCCCTCCAGGAAGGTGTCTTGCAGTCCGTCAAGATATCGCAAAGTACCTGCAGTGGCGTGGTATACAGCAGGAATGGCACCCTCAATGTACGATAACACGTGGCATTTGTACAATCGGACCAACTCAGCGGTGGAATAATAACGCTTTGCTCGAAGTAGCGCCTGAAGCCTCCAGGACCCTTTCTGCGGCGAAGTGGGATGCAACCTGATACATGGTCAGTCTGGCATCTGGCATGAAGGGACCGCACCGAACCGAGAACCGAGAACCGTGACCGAACCGGTCAAAAACCAGGATCGTACAAAACCGAACCGGACCGAACCGAATTCATTCAGAACCGAACCGGCGAGAACCGAACCGAACCAAAACCCGAACCGAACCAAAACCGGGCGGCCCCTGAACCGACACCGACGGGAACCGAACCGAACCCCCTTCCCCTCCGGTCCGGACCCCAGGACCCCGATGACCCCCAGGACTCCAGGACCCCGATGACCCCAGAACCTCCCGAATCGACCCCGATGACCCCCAGGACCCCCCTGGACCCCCGGGACCCCAGGACCCCAGGACCCGAGGGGGGTCGCAGCCCCGAGGGGGGTCGCAGCCCCGAGGGGGGTCGCACCCGCGAGGGGGGTCGCAGCCCCGAAAGGGGGTCGCACCCACGAGGGGGGTCGCACCCGCGAGGGGGGTTCGCACCCGCGAGGGGGGTCGCACCCGCGAGGGGGGTCGCACCCGCGAGGGGGGTCGCAGCCCCGAGGGGGGTTGCACCCGCGAGGGGGGTCGCACCCGCGAGGGGGGTCGAAGCCCCGAGGGGGGTCGCACCCGCGAGGGGGGTCGCACCCGCGAG